ACTATGGTTTTAGTTTCAAAATTGATAACTTGAGAATTATCATGACTATAGTGAGCACAATGGAGAACGATTGAAGTTGGGATTTGGAAAAGCTTCCTCACAAAAATAAAATTAAATGGGCTTCTGGCTAAAAACGCCCAATTATTTTCGAATAATTTGAATAATTCTAAATCAATATTTTCATGATCTGTATCCAGTCCTGATATTTGATTTTTAATCAGATATCCCATTTGAATTATCCGGAAAAAGAAATTGGATTAGATATCCAGATTTTTGGATCGAATCATCATATAAATGGTTCAGATTATTCAGATCGGATATTTTTGTATACCCTACTTGGAGAAAACTACAAAACATATGAAGAAGTGTGCAGATCGCAATAGAAGGCATCTGTAATTTCAAGTTGGGGATTTGGTACTTTTCTAGCTGATGCCATATCAACTTATATTCTTACGAAAAAATATCGTTGATTGGTGTGCAAGTATGAAGGTTTGATCTCAATAGTGGCAAAAGTGGGAAATGCTTCTTAAAAAATTGACCCTACTGATTGGATGAAAGTTCACCCAATCATTCATGTGAGCAATTTGAAGTCGTTTCATGTCTACCCTAATGACGTCAATCGGAATCTGATAACCAAGGAATCAATTTGCGTGCACCAACCTTCACAGCGTTATGTTAATAAGATTCTTGTTGATAGAGTGGTTATGGTGTGCAAAAAGACAAGATGAGAATACCTAGTTAAATGGGGGAGGCCTATATCATGAAGAGCACAGCTGGAGAGAGAGCATGACCTCAAGGTGTTCAAAGAAAAAATTGAGAAGTTTAAAGTAGTGCAGTCGATGAGAGCGTAAAAAATTTAGGTGGAAGAGAATGTCATGGCCATCCCTTATATGGGGCCACAACCTGATAGGTACGTAAAGGCCAACCATGTATAGGGCCTATTGCATGGTAGAATAAGCATGTCCTCTTTTCAAGCATTTCTTTATTTTTAGGTAAGGAATGTAGGCAAGTTAGATTATCCCCAGTTCGAGCATTTTAACGTCTACACGTAGCTTTTCTCAAAAACATTACGTCTACACGTAGCATTTCTATTTTTTTCACATATATGTAGGGGTGGACTGTCGGTAGAGTTTGGATAGATCCATAAGTAAAAATATGAGTCTTGTGAACACCATTGAAGGTCGTCCCTATGGCCTAGTCGATGATTTGGGTACGTCTTCTCTAATCTGATGTTATTTCCATTAATAATACATTTTTTCCTTTAGGGGAGTCCGAAGTCGACCGTGTGTATCCGTTATACCCCATGATTTCAGTCCTCAACCTCAAAGGTCTCATTGTGGAGAATATTTAACTCGATGTGTGCTTATGTTTGATAACATATTTGAGACTAAGGTTGACTTGGCGGGGAAACATCCCTTTTCAAATACCGCACGGGTTAGCAACCGAACCAACTAGGCTAAGTCCGTGACATTAGGGGGAACAGAGAGGGCTGGAGGGATGGGATGATGGGCGGGAGTGGAGTTATTTATTTTTTTAAAAATATCTTTAAATATATAATTTATTTTTAATTGTTTTTTAAAAAATCTTCAAAATTATCAGAATACGACATGTGTCACTTAATGAAAAATTTTAATGGTCGTTACGGTCGGGGCACTTAAAGTTATAACGTTTGTAACGTTAGGCACCTCGATTGACCGAAAAATAGTTTAGGTACCTAAATGGGAAAAATGGTGTAGTTTGAGCATTTATTTTTATATTAAGCCTAAAAGTTTTTAAGATTGGACAAATTATCTCCTACACCTACCACCTTGCTTAACTGCTCATTTTCTCCTCTCATTCATTATTTAGTCCCATAACCCAATTACCACACCCATAAATTACACCCGAAAAGAGTAATGTTTTAGCCCAACAAATGATTTTAATCAGAGGTACCTATTGACTTTGCAGTAATTATTTAAAATTCGATTCCAGTCCCAAAACTTTATTACACCCAGTAAAATTTGATTTGATTTAGTTTAATCATAAAATTGTTAATAAATTAAGTTCAAACATATAAATATAGTGATACAAATAAATATATTATATCCGTTAATTATTTTAACCGAGTTTAATTCTTCATTTGTGAAAATGAAACATATTTAATGATAAATTATTTATATCTTCATATTAAATTTACAACGAGAGAATTAATTATTATTGGATGGATATTTTGATAAAAATAAAAAATAAAATAAAAATAATCTAACATAAAATTACTCAGAACTTTTATAATTCAAATTAACTCATTGTTGGAGCGAACAAGTTTGTCTCATCCATTGTTGGTGATTCACTCCTATTGATTTGGGAGGAGAGCTATGGTCAATGATAGTTTGTATGAGGAGATAAGTGAATGTAGAGGGAGATGAACAATGTAGTTCTGAAAGCTGAAACTATATAAGAGAGTCTAGTCCCCTCTCTTAATCGTGGCTGAGGATATTTATGGTGGTCTTAGTTAGCTGTCATGCATAGGGTAATTAACATTATTTGTAGGCCATTAAGTTAAATATATTTGGTTCTCGAATCTTAAATTTCGCTCTGATAAACCATGTGAGATTGCAAGAGATCTAATCATATGGATGTAACCATTCACGAAGTATGACTTCAGTTGAATCCAAACGTTTAGATACTATTTTTGGACTGTATCTCTTAAGGACATCTCCGAAGGTATAATATATTTTCCCTCATTGGTCAAGGGAATGTCATAAAGTGGTTGGATCTGAGACTTTTGGTAGAAATTTAATGATCATATCTTGATTTTGTTCAATAGCATAGGCATATCAACATTGTCATTTTCAAGATAGATGCAACTCATTTTTCTTTTTTAAAAGGATTCAATTGTCAAGCATAATCGTCTATGTTGGCAAAGGCATCTCAACATTGATGCTTAAATGGAGGAAATACCCTTGAGTGGGATGGTAAAGGATGCCTCAAAGGTAACTCACGATTCTTCAGTTAACTGGTAGAGGTATCTCGACTCTTTTGACTAGAGAGGAGGTAGTTCAACTTATTATGGGAAAGTCCAAACAATGAACAGAGGCATCTTCATGCTAATAAAGGGATAGGAGCATCTCAACACTTGTAAAAGCGTAGGATAATAACCTTAAGTGAGATGGTAAAGGATGCCTCAGAGGTAAGTCGCAGTTCTACAATTAACGGGGGATATATCTCTACTCTTTTGCAAGAGAATAGGCAATTCAATGTATTCTGAGGAAGTCCAAACAATGAGCAAATGCATCTTTATGCCAATAAAAGGGATAAAAGCATCCCATCACTTGTAGAAGGAGAGGATAATAATCTAAAAGATGTCTCCAGAGGTGTAAGCTCACTTGGAGGATAAAAACTATTATAGAGAACGACATTTCTCAAAGAGAATACCATTTCACATGGAGGATGACTCTTCTTCACTAAGGATAAAAAGGAGGATATCCACATCTCGACGTTGTGGAGGGTAGTAGAGGCTTCTCGACTCTTTTGTTCAGTTGTTAATAGTGGTGATCAAGTTATTATAGCAATAGATAGAGCGAGGGTTTCTTTTAGCACTTCAAAAACGAATTCAACAATCGAAAAACATAAAGTCAACACTCAACGGGTCAGGTCAATGGGTTGGGTTAAAGGTTAGGTTTGGATCGGGTCAAATCAATTTAACCACTGGATTGATTTGATCAGTTCGTTAAAAAACACTCCCCCACTTGCAGCGATAGACTGGGCGACCCTCCCAACCCAGTTTGCTTCATTCGCAAATACTAAGATTTTAACCTCTGATCTTGCTTAAGGGACCTAGTGCCTCATCCCACTAGACCAACTGGTTGTTGGTTGTAAGAAGAACGTGTTTTTAAATACTCTAACCCTAGGACAAATTATGCAATTAGTGTATCAAAAAAATCATGCAATTAGTCCCTACACTTCTAGAAATTCACAAATTAACTCTAAAATTTCATAAAATTTCAAATTAACCCTTAATCTTAAAGGCTTAAAATTTTAACCCTTGCATTGGGTGTAATAGCTACAATAGAAACAAAATGTAACATTATACATGATTTTGGAAAAAAAATAGTTAGGTGATCAAAAAAACAGTAAGAATAGATAGGTGACTAAATAGGTAGTTTACCCTTAAAATATAATATAATCATGGATGTGTTTATATATCAGGTAAAGTACACAAATGATCCCCCAATTATATGATGATTCTTTGTTGAGTCACTCGACTATTAAAAGTTACAAAAGGATCTCTCGGCTATAAGGCGCTACTTTGTTGAGTCTCTGACTATTCAAATTTACAAAATGGTTACCTGACTATTTATATATTTTAAACTTATCATTTTTTGTTAAAAACTAATAGTTATTTGAGTTGAACGTTAACATATTAATTGAGATATGATAAATTATGAATTCATAATCATTTGTGCAATATTTTATTGATTGACTCTCCGTTTATATTATATCGTCAAGCAAATGTTTGAAACGTTATGTCATCTAGCCAGTGCTTAAAAGCAACAGCGGTGCCAGTAGACATCATTAAAATATGATTGTATTATATTTCAACTAATAAATTAACGTCCAGCTCAAATAATCATTATTTTTTTAATAAAAGACTGAAGATATTGAAATATATTAATAATTTATTAACAATTTTATAACTTTTAATAATAAAATAATTAATAAATTAACGTACTATTGTCGGAATATCATTTATTTACTTTACCTTTATATATTTTTTTTATATATTTTACCCCGTATATAAGTACAATATTCATTACATTCTTTGTTTAGCATTGAGTTTTCATACTTTCAGGTCAGAAAACCCAACTTCCGAGGAATGCCATTCTTGGGCAACTATCCATCCATGGTAGCACAAGGATGAGAAAACTTGAATGAGGTACTTTACTTTAAGCTCTCAAATTTTAGACAACACTCATATTTGCTACGTTTGGTCGAATCTTTCTGTTGCTTCTCAGACAAATAAGACAACAACTTTCCTTATCGTCTGAGCTTTCATCCTTCTATCATCCAAGGGAAGATATAGCAAGGAGGACAGAGAAAGGGAGTCATGGTGGATATTTTCATATGGCTTATTTCTTTCTTCATCCTCATTGCCCTTGTTGTTCTCCTCATTTATCAGGTCAATTCCTTCCTAAACCCTAGAATATTTTTTTTCTGGGTCTGCTTGTATTTTTACTCTATGTCACTTCTTTTTGTTTGAATTTTAATTATGCTTTTCTGTTCAGCTTGGTGGGTGATGATTGTTTAGGTTTTATTTTGGTTGCATGAAAATCACCTAAATGCAAATTTTGGTGCTTCCTGATTAGAAAAGAAGAGAAGAAATAGCATTTTTGGAATGTTTTTATCTGGGGCTGTTAAATTTGTTGTAAAACTTGTGTGGTACTGATTTGGTGTTGCTATATTTTTGTAAATAGTCATCCCGCTGCACTTTGATTTGGAGAACCGTTTGGGGATTTCTTTTGGGTTTTAAAAGGATCTATGTTCATCTGTAGATCTTTTTGGGTATATAAGAACCGAGAATGAAATTTAACAGCTTGGTAATTTTGTTTCAGCTCACATGCTTGGCTGATTTAGAGTTTGATTACATCAACCCTTATGACTCTTCATCGCGGATAAACAAAGTCGTCTTGCCGGAATTCTTCCTGCAAGGCTTTTTATGTTTATTCTATCTATTAACAGGGCATTGGGTCATGTCACTTTTATGTACTCCATATTTATACTACAATGTGACACTGTAAGTTATTCTCTCATCTTATTCTACTTTTTCATCATTAGTGTAGACAAATTCAAATGATATTCACTAGTTTTAGTTCAAAGTTCATTTCAAATTGCACAACATCAGCTCCCTATATCCAATAGGATTTAAACCTGTCTCCTTTATAAATTCTGTTTAGTTCCAAGAGCATGTTTGATACTGTTAATCATCAAAGGATTCATTGCTTATTAACTTGTGCAAAGACATGCATCATTAGATACCTAATAACCTAACATAGGTAGTAATGGAACTTTTGTTTTATGCATTCAATTTGCTGACATATGAACCTCCCTCGGAGGGCATTACAGTTTAAATTAGCTTTATTTCTTCTGTAGCAGTATTGGCTATTTTTTTTTTACTTTTTTGTTGCAAAGTTATAGCTATTTGTTTGCTATAAATCTTGGAGGGTATTACAGTTAAAATTAGCTTTATTTCCTCTCTAGAAGTATTGGCTCTTTTTTCCTTTTTGTTGCAAAGTTATAGCTAATTGTTTGCTATATAAATCTTGGAGGGCATTACAGTTAAAATTAGCTTTATTTCCTCTCTAGCCGTATCGGCTCCTTTTTTTTCTTTTCTTTTCGTTGCAAAGTTATAGCTATTTGTTTGATATAAATGTTGGAGGGCGTTACAGTTAAAATTAGCTTTATTTCCTCTCTAGCAGTATCGGCTCTTTTTTGTTGTTGCAAAGTTATAGCTATTGTTTGCTATAAATCAAGTTGCATTTTATCACGTCGATTGTGGAAGATCTTCAAACCAGACTCATTGGAGAAAAAAAATGTAAACTGTTATTGAACTTTTGTCATATGCATTCAATTTGCCGGCATATGAACCTCCCTCAGAGGGTATTACAGTTTAAATTAGCTTTGTTTCTTCTCTAGCAGTATTGGCTCTTTTTTTCCTTTTTGTTGCAAAGTTATAGCTATTTGTTTGCTATAAATCTTGGAGGGCATTACAGTTAAAATTAGCTTTATTTCCTCTATTTGGGCAAAGTTATAGCTATTGTTTGCTATAAATCAAGTTGCATTTTATCACATTGATCGTGGATAGATCTTCAAAGCATACTCATTGGAGAGAAAAATATGTAAACTGTTATTGAAGTTGTTGAGGGTTCTAATTGTACATGCTTTCTTTTGTTTCCTGGACTTTCTCTTGTAATCAGTTACACATCGAAACAACACCTGGTTGATGTCACGGAGATATTTAACTTGCTTCAAAGAGAGAAGAATCAACGCTATTATAAACTTGCGTACCTTGTTGTTCTCCTATTTTTATCGTTATTCTGGTAAGTTTTATTAATACAAATACACAAAGTTGCTCCCTCTAATCATGTGCCTACTAACCTGAGAATTTTTTTATGTATTTGTTAGGATTATCTTCTCCTCATTAGAATACGAAGATGATTAAAAGGAGCCTAGCATTGTTCTTAATCTGAGGTATTTGTCGCTCTAAATTGTCGCCGTACATCAGCTGTTCACATTTTTTGTTTTTGAAAAGCTTCTTCTGTTGTAATTTGCAACTGATATAACCATAATTTCCAAGGTTGTAGAATTGTGAGAATTTCAGGTGTGATTTCAGATAAATATATATTTGCAGGCATCTGGTGTTTTTTTTTTTTAGCCTTTTCAATTTCTAATTTAGTAATTTTAGTGCATCAAATATTATCGTGTGTAGGGGTGTTTGAGTGTTTATTGTCAAATTATTAAGTCTTTCGAACAAATATTACCTTGTAATCTTTCTAGACTAATAAAAATAAAATAATAGTTTCTACTTTTACCACGAGGGTGAGATGCAAAAATATGAATTAACTCTACCGTGTAATTAACCCATCCATGGTCGTTCACTATCATTCTCGCTTAACCACTCTCTCCATCCATTATTGACCTTAGCAATGAAGTCTTCAATTCTTTGGTGTAAATCATCACCATATTCTTCTTCTGCATCATAACAACTGTGGTCATCGTCGTTTTCATGATCATCTTCTTCATAATAGTCATCTGAAACACCTGTATCATCTCTGTAGACATCAACAATATCACTACACTGTTCAACTGTGGTCATCTTCGTTTTCATGATCATCTTCATAATAGTCATCTGAAACACCTGTATCATCTCTGTAGACATCAACAATATGACTACACTGTTCAGTGTCATCGAAGGAAGCTCCCACTACAGATCCTGAGCAGAGTACATGGAATTCATCTATGGATTGTTTATGGCTCACAACGATAACAGAAACTATTATGGCGTTGAACAACACGAAGCGTGAAAGCGGATTGTACGAGAACTCAAAATTGCAGGTTGATAAAGGTTTCAGGGTGACAACACAGAACTAAAGCTGAACAAAAGAGCTTCATTCAAGCGTGTACTAAACAGGAGATAATATGTTTATTCTTGATTCTCCCATTTGGCTGGAGGGTTGCATTATATTGAACTTTTGAGTGGGTTAAGGATAAAAATATAATGATTTTGAAAGACCTTTCTTTTTTCAATTAATGAAGACTTTGAAGCATAAGATGGGATTATTATATCGCCGAAGTTACTTTGCAAGTTTCTTTTGTTAAGACTTGTTACCTGGTAAAAACACTCTGAAACCTCCCAAAATGAAAAAGGATAGATTTGATTTCTTGTAAGGCCAGCATTGAGGTTGATTTTCATAATTGGAAAAAGAAAAATCTTCGTATTTAAAATGGCATAATCGCATAATTCAAGCAATTTCAGTGGTTTGCTAAAGATTTAAGTGATCAAGAGATTGTTGTTTACTCTTGAGGTTTTGGATTTGAACATTACATATGAATTCATTATTAAATGATCGAGTGTCTTTGAACAAAGGCTATCTTGATTTATAAAAAAATTTACAATATTTTATTAAATAGTAACTTTGGTCTTTATTTTTTTTTCTTTTTTTGAGTATTTTAGTCACTAAAGTTTTATTTTAGAACAAAAAGTCTTCTTTTAGAGCATTTTTCATTTGTTGACTACTAATTTTCATCTACTTTTTTATCCAAAATAAAATATTAAAAATGAAAATACTTTTAAAAATTAAAATTCAAAATAATTATTTAATAAAATATTATGAATTTTTTTAAATATTATACCATCTAAAATCTCAAAACGATCTTTATTTTAGCTCACACTTTTGGAGCCGCCCCATTTTGCAATAACCAAAACCTTGAACTCCGAATTTTTTCTTATTAAGCGTAAATCGGATCAAATTTTTTTCAAAATTTTTAACCAAATCAAATAAAGTTCAGTTAATTCGGTCGGTTAACCGAATTAACATAAATTTGTAAATAATATATTTTATATATTAAATATTTTTTTAAATTCGATTAAAATTGAAATTTAAACACACATAAGGTTAAGTAACATATGAATAATATATATAATATATTAAATATTTAACAATTTCGGTTTATTCAGATAATTCAATTAATTAACCGATTTTAGACTGATTAACATATAATTGAAGTTTGAAAAAATCATTAACCGTCAATCAACCGAATATAAAATTAACCAATTAAATAATTGGAAAAAAACTTCGATACGATCAATTAATTTTATTAAATCTTAAGTATGAACATCCCTACACAGAAGTTGATGTTTATAATTCCATCAGTACACATCATGATTGAAAAGAAAAAAAAAACCAACATGAGGTAACACAGATTGGATTTTCGGTTATTCGTTCAATCAGTTAAATTCCTATTCATTTATTTAGAGAATTTTGAAAATGATTAATGATTTTTTTTAAATATATAAATTAGTAAGAATAAGAAGAATAAAGGAACATGATCTATGAATATTTTTACATTTAATTAAGCCTTTAAATTAAGAAAATTAATTAATATGATTCTTTAGTTAAAGAGAATAGTTTTTATTGTTATAATATTGATGTGATAATTTATAATATTCACGTGATAGTCTATGGTATTAACATGATGGTCTACATGTGAATGATGATATGACAGAAGATTAATTTTTTTTTTATAAATTCTGAAGAATTATTTAACCATTAAATAATGATCTAATATAAAAATAAGTACTCAAACTATACCGTTTTTCTCAAAGTGGTACCTAAATTTTTTGGGTCAATCTAGGTGCCTAACGTTACAAATGTTACCACTTTAGGTGTCTCAGCTGTAATGATCGTTAAAAAAACCTTGTTAAGTGACACGTGTTACATTCATATAATTTTGAAAATTTTATTTAAAAAAACTTATTATTATATTTAAAAACCTCTAATTTTTTTAAATTACAAAAAAATCTCAAATCCCTAAAATTCCTAAATTCAATCCTACATCCATAACCCTAACCCTAATTTCTACCTTGCCAGCCACGACTGATGTCGCCGCCTACCTTTTCGGCTGACATCGTTCTTGTCGTCACTCGCATTGTTGGGTCTCGTGGAGTCGTGTAAATTTTGCGGTTTTTCCATTTCATTTTTTGAATATAAATTGCGATTGGGGTTCATCGGTGGTTATTCATCACGTGGAGGCGTGATTGGGGGTAGGTACAGTCGATGACAACAGGGATGGTAAAGGGCGATGACAACGTGGATATAAGGATTAGATTTAGGGTTTTCAAATTTGAGGGTTTTCTAAAAGATTTTTTGAAAATTTGGGCTTTTTTAATATATATATATATATATTAATTTTTTAAAATTAAAAATTACCTAAACTTGCCTGTGTCATTTAAAAGGTGAACTTTAACGTGCGTTGCGGACCAAGTACCTAAAGTGATAATGTTTGTAACGTTACATTTGGATTGACCGAAAAAAGTTTAGACACCACTTTGAAAAAAAAAGTATAATTTGGGCACTTATTTTTATATTAATCCTTAAACAAATAAGTAAAAAGTATGCTTAAGGAGTAATTTTACACTGAATCTCGCACCAAATTATCAATTTATCATTCACAAAAAAACACATTTAATTCGACCATAAAATTCATAAATTGTATCAATTTAGCCCTTTAACCAACATTGATCGTTACTATACTGACATTGTCATTAATGATGTTAATGTGGTAGTCAATTGTTCTGACGTGGTCGTATGTATCTTAATAATGATATGACAACATTATTATTTTTAGAATGTTTGAGGACTTAATCGATTTTTTAAGAAGTTTGAGGATCTAATTTAATTTTTATGTAGTACTTGAACAAAAATTGAGAAATTAAAATTTCAAAATATATTAAAATATTAAAAAAACTATTAATCATTAAAAAGTTTAAATAGAAATTTAAAAAATATCAGAAGATAAATTATAAATAATTAATTTATTTTTAAAAAAATTTAACAAGTAATCGTAAAAATATTTGTCTCTTGTCAGCCTGAGCCAACTGGTATTACTTGAACATATTTTTAGCGGAATCAACTTTACATTAGAGTAGTGGGAATAACCTTTAGGAACCTTTTCTGTAGTTTAAAAATGATGGGATAAAATTTGCACAAAAGTGTATTCATAAATCTTATTTTAAATATCAAAATTTGATTTCATAGTTAATCGTTACAACAAGGTGACACTCATTACATTGGAAAAATAAAAAAAATTGTGATTTAAAATAATACTTATGAATACTAATTTGATGCAAACTCTATCTTTATGTTTTTAAAATAGAGGATATGGTATAATGACCCAAAGTCCCTAAACTATGAGATGCAACTAAAAAAATCCCCCTGTTATTCTAGTTTCGGCCAAATTCTCATCCAATTGGACTCGATCTTTGGGTCAAAAACTCGATTGGTATAGTTAACTGATTGGTCTAGACCTATTAGCCTTGTGGGATGTATTTACAAGGTTCTATCTCGAGTTTTATCTAGAAGGTTGGCCGGCTGTATAAATGAAGTTGTGGGTGAGAATCAATTCGCTTTCATCACTGGGAAACAAATTGCAGATTGCTCTCTTATTGTGGGTGAGGTCATTGATTCTGTTAAACGTCAAAAGGGCAGGGCTATTGTGTTCAAGGCCGATTTCAGAAAGGCCTACGATATTGTGGACTGACCGTTTTTGGATTTTATTTGTAGAAAAATGGGTTTTGGAGCAATTGGATTAAACTTTGCATTTCTTCGGCTTTCAAACATGCGTTGATAAATGGTGCTCCAACTAATCGCTTCAACATCAAGAGTTACCTCAGGGTTATCCACTATCACCGCTGCTATTTAATCTCATTGCAAAAGCTTTGAGTGTCCTTATCCGCAAAGCTGTTAATGTTGGTTTGTTCAGAGGTGTGGTCGTGGGTAATGAGGATCTCGAAATATCTCATATGTGGTTTGCAGACGATCTAATTATTTTTTCAGAAGCCGAAGATCTCCATGTAAAGAACATAGAGAGAGTTCTAAGAATTTTTAAGCTCGCTTATGGGCTAAAATTAAACATGAAGAAATCCAAGCTTTAAAAGGATAAATTTTGATGATAACCTTATCAGGATGTGGGCTGACTCAATCCTATGTGCCTTTGACCAATTCCGTCATCTTACCTTGGTTTCCCCTTGGTCAATCTCGTAATTCCATAGCAATTTGGAATACAGTCACCAACAAATTTAGGTCTCGGCTGGAAGGTTGGAAAGGACAAATTTTATCTTTTGGGGACCGGATAACACTAGTGAATTCGGTTCTTTCAAATTTACCGGTGTATTTTCTGTCTCTGTTTCAACTGTCGATCTCTGAAGAAGAGCAACGAGACATTCTATATCACTGTCATACAACCCCAAGTGGAGGCCATTGTGGAGGAGCAAGGACCGCTGTCAAGGTTTTGCAGTCAGGCTTTTATTAGCCAACTTTGTTCAAGGATGCTCAGGCATTTTGCAAGTCCTACGATCGATGCCAACGCACTGAGAACATATCCAGGTGACATGAAATGCCACTGCAAGGCATTTTGGAAATTGAACTGTTTGACATTTGGGGCATTGATTTCATGGGACCGTTCCCATCTTCATGTGGTGATCTATACATTTTTCTTGATGTGGATTACGTATCCAACTAGGTGGAGGTCATTGCGACATCAAAGAATGATTCCAAAATCGTTCTTAAGTTTTTGCATAAACACATTTTCACTCGATTTGGAGTACCTTGAGGCATCATTAGCGACGAAGGAACCCACTTTGATAACAAGTCGATTGCTAAGGTATTGAGAATATATGGAGTCCGTCACAAGATTGTCACAGCATACCATCCATAGACGAATGGCCAAGCTGAAATATCCAACCGCAAGATAAAGCAGATATTAGAAAAAGTGGTGAATCTGAGGCTGAAGGATTGGTCACCAAATTTAGATGAAGCACACTGGGTATATAGAACAGCTTTTAAGACTCCTCTAGGCATGTCACCCATCAAGTTGGTGTATGGGAAGGCCTGCCACCTCCCTGTCGAGCTAGAACATAAAGCTTAT